CCATATGGTCCCCCAAGCACCACCAGGAGTAATTCCTGAGTGCAAAGCCAGGAGTAACCCCTGATCATTGACGGATGTGACCCAAAAAGCCAATATATATATATATATTTATAATGATCTGTCAACTTCACTGATGGCTATAAAGTAGGAATAGGAGCTAAAATTCAACTCAAGTCTTGACTTCTAAAGAAAGTCCTTTCTCTTTCTGAATCCTTTGGCTTCCTGATATAGAAACAGTGTATCTTGTCTTGGACAAAGTATCTCATGACATCCCCTGGGGTAAAACGGATATGCCAGGAGGAAAAAAAAATTAAGCTTTGTAATGCCAGAGTTGCTATTTTCATGAAAGACTATGTGTCACTATGCAGTAACTTTCTCAAAAGAGTAGGAGTGTGACCCAGGCAGTCTTGAAAATGCTCCACTCTAGGATTCAGCACGTCTAAGGGAAATACACTCACACCTTACTGTATTGGTAAGAGTGACACCTTCTGCAGAGCTTGGTACTTAGCCTTCTGTCTATACCATCCACCCACCCCACCCCACTTGACCCCACCCCCACACACATACCATTTTGGTCAAAAGTTTCCATTAGTGAGTACTGATGATATTTTCCCTAAATCTCTTACTAAATGATTAGCTAATCCAGATGGTAGGGAACATGTCTTACTCTTCTTTGCAAACTCACTGCCCAACCAATATTTGACACCCCCAGATTCAATCACTGATGCCTGAATGTGAAATGAAACATTTTAAAGATATTACAGGATTTACACATTGGAACAAACCTACTAAAGTGAAGTTAATAAGTCAAATGTATCAGAGGCCAACGTATGTATTCTTAAATAAAAAAGGGATCTGAGGAATGTAACACTCTTTTCAAACAAGACCAGGACAGCAGGGGCCAGAGAACAATACAGGACTTAACACAGCTGCCTTGAATACTGCAGACCCTGGTTAGATCCCCATCACCGCATGGTCTCCTGAGCACTGCTGAGTACAGTTCTGAAGGCCTGGGAGACAGCCCCAAGCAAGTAATCCCCTGTATTTCAGAATCCCCCAGGCTTTCTGAGCACTACTTGGGAAACTTGTCTTCCAAAAAGACTAAGACAGCAAACCCAATATTAATCTGTATGACAGCTACCCTGAAAACTCAGTCTTTCTTCAATTAGAAAAGAGTAAGTATTAGAAATAACAGCCTGCACATCCCTACTCAATTTAAATTACACCTGGGGGGCTGGAGCGATAGCACAGCAGGTAGGGCATTTGCCTTGCACACAGCCGACCCAGGTTCGATTCCCAGCTTCCCATATGGTCCCCTGAGCACCGCCATAGGTAATTCCTGAGTGCAGAGCCAGGAGTAAACTCTGTGCATTGCCGGGTGTGACCCAAAAAAAAAACAAAATAAATAAATAATAAATAAATTACACCAGGAACCATTTCTATAGCTTAAGGCATTACATCTGTTTGGTTTGGCTTTTCTGCATTGTGAGTACTGAACCCGGGGTATCACACAGGCAGGACAAACAGGGACTCTACATTGAGCTATTATTTTTGACCCCTCAAGACATCACATTTTATGGAAAGAGGATAACAATTAGTAAGTTCTAGAAGAAATGTCAACAGAGTAAAAGTTTAACAATGTACGACACACAGTGAAAAGAAAAAGCTATTTATTTACATAAGCAAAGATAAGACTCTAGGGGATTTAATCTTCAACTATCTGAAGGGGTACCACATGCAATAAAAACTCAGCAGAACTGAAAATGACAGGGAAACAGATTTTGGCTTTATACACTGGAAAACTTACTGGAAATTACACCTACCCAAAACTTCAACAGGGGTGAAAGCGATAGCTCAGAACACTGACTGCATGCAGGAGGCCCTGTCCAGATTCCATCTAGCACCCCAGCACTACCGGGAGTGACCTCAAAGCCAAAAGAGCTGAGAGCAGCCACTAAGACCCACCAGTGGTACACAACCCGGAAACAAAAATAATACAATAACACTAAAACTCCAAAACTAAAATAGACACTTTAGGACAGTTTCTTCACTTTATAAATTCACCTCTTTACCAAGACAGACGAAGTCACTTGACTGTTTTTTGGGGGAGAGGGGCAGCTGATGCCAGGAATCAAATCCAGAACCTCACACATACAAGCCAAGAACTCTACCTACCACTGAATTTTGTCTGATCCAGAGTACTAAACAAGAGACTGAAAACAGTGAGCTAGAAACTATCTTAAGTACCTCTCAGTCACATCACTTTAAAATATGAATCCATGAGAGTATACTTCACAAAATAAGATAAAATATTTTTCACAAGAAAAAAGTGAAATCTCATTTCCTTGGTGCATTTTATCTCTTCATTTGGAAATTAAAAGCATATGAAGTTACTTCTTATGGTCACACGCAAGTTAAATGTCTGAAAAAATTGCTGAGATGGAATTATATCTAACAGGTAGAGATCAAATCTGTGCTTCCTTCATACAATAGTATATCAAAAAAAAAGCTTCAATCTAGTAATATAATTCTGAAATTGTGATGAGTTAGAAAAATATCAAAAGTCTGGGTTGGAGTCTTGGATTTGATCTGGCACCACATGGCTGGGTTCCCAGAGAGGAGTTGCCCCCAGGCTGCTAAGGACTGTCCCATTTAGCCTGAAAAGGGGAAAAAAAAATAGAATCAGGACCGCTATGCTTCTGATCCTGAAGAGCTACCATATTTCATCCTCTTAATAGACCGCAATGTTTTTTTCAATACTTAAAAAATCTTTAGCTTATTTTTAGCTTCAAGAAAGTTTTGAGACTATGTAATTCTGGGGTTGAAAAGTTAAATTACATTTTCAAAAAACAATGCAACTTTATATTTACAAAAATATATTTTTATATTTATATAATCTCATATTTATATTAAAACAAAAATTTTGCCTATGTACAGAGATAGTATGATCTAACTGCCCGAAATATGAAGTCATACTTGAGATTAAATTTCAACTTGGGGGGTCAGAGCAATAGTACAGCAGGTAGGGCATTTGCCTTGCGTGCAGACCCAGGAGTGGGGGAGTGGGGGGGGGGGCACTGGCCCGAAAGCTAAGTGGGCACTGGTGAAGAGACTGGTCTTGGAACATTGTTACTACTGAAAGCTGTCATGAATTACTTTGTAATTCATCATGAAGGTTCAATAAAAATTCTACCTAGGGAGCTGAAGAGACAGAACAGAGGTTGTCATTTGCCTTGCATGATCCATACACTGATACACAAAAAAGCTTCAACTTGGAGGGCACCGCATGGCCACCTCAGCACCAATGGTTGGGACCCCCAAGCACAAAGCTAGAAGGAGTAAATCCCCCTCAAGTACCACTGGATAAGGTCCAAAACCGTCATTCACCCAAAATTATCTCTAGTGAGGGAGAGACATTCAAGGGGCTGAGCACATGCTCTGCATGCAGGGAGGCCCAGGTCTGACCTGGGTCTGACTCAGGGTTCTCTGAGTACCAAGCACTGAGCTGGGAGTAGTTCAGTAGGTCAGGAGTTCTGAGCACTGCAGAATGAGAAGCAAAACAGGTAAAAAGAATTGTATCTAATAATGTACAGAACGGAAGACAAAAAAAAACACGCTTACTAAACACTTACTATCCAGATATTATGCTTTATATAGGAAGAGTAAAAACAGAGGAATAAAAATAGAATAGGGAATCACACCCAGAACATCTTGGTAAATTCTACTCAGAGTTTAATAATAGCACCACACATCAAATGTCACAACAATGAGGATACTCTGCCCTCTTTCAAATCGTGTTCTTGCTCTTATCTCCTAAGATATAATCACTTAGAATCACTAAGATTCTGCAATCTGGAGCTGTAAGTGTGAAGATGCAAAGTTTACATAGATCTTAAGTATATATTTATCTTGAGGACTCGGTGAGCCAGACGCTATTATTATGGCCCTCTCAACACAGGAAGAAACCTGGGCAGAGGCACGTTAATGAGCCTGCTAGGATCACAGAGCTCATTAATCGGACGCAAGGGAGGTGAAACTATAGGCAGAGCTCAAAAGTTCACTAGATTTCACTGCCCTCGGCACTAAATGGACCAAGTTAGGATATTTCCTTCTAATGTGTGCTTTAAACGCTGCCTCCGGGGTAGAGGCGCAAGGCCACGTACAAATGCCTGGCTTCATCTTGATCCAGGGTCACGGTTGAACACTTTCCGAATAATGATACAGCAAGGGCGGGGTGGGGGGGAGGGAGAGTCGGCCCTCTAATAGACAACAAAAGGAAACCCGCAGCACCCAGCTGTCCTGTCTGGGGGAGCCCAAACGCCGGCCGGCCGGCATCACATGCCGCTCCCTCGTGCGCGGCGGCGGAGGGTGACTGACCTGGCACACCCGCCAGGCCCAGCGGCAGCCGGGACGCCCCCCAGCCCGCACGCAGCATCCCCAAGTGCGTGACCCAGCACAGCCGCCGGGCAGCCCCAAGTCCAACCTGGACCCACCCCCGCCCCTCCCCGGGCCCCAAACGCCACAGGGCCGAGTGCAACTTGCACAAACACTTAGTCACCCGTAAACGCTGCGAGTTTCCAATCACCGAGTTCGCAAAAAGAGAAAAAAAAAACCAAATCCGCCGCAGAGAGAAAGAGACAGAGACTGACAGCACAGAGATTACGAAGGAAGAAGGAAGCACAGAGAGGTTAGAAGAGAGAGAGAAGAGAGAAATGAGAGGAGAAAAAAACAGGAGAGGGAGACAGAAGAGAGAGACAAGGAGAGAGGAGAGAAGAGAGAAAAGAGAAGAGGGAGAGGAAGAAAGAGAAGAGAGAGAAGGGGACGGAGGGGGTGCAGGGGGAGGGAGGGGGTAGGGAGGGCGTGCGAGCGAGCGCGGGGCGGCCGCAGGGCCAGCCGGGCGGAAGGGGATCGGCCGAGGGAAGGGGTCCGAGCCCCGCCAAGGCGCGCGGCCCCCCGGGGCGGGCTCAGGCCCGAGGGCGCGGGGCGCCGCCGCGGCGCACCTGCAACGTGGTGATGTGCTTGTCGTTGAACTTGTTCTCGCAGTAGCGCAGCACCAGCGACGTCTTCCCCACGCAGCCCTCGCCGAGCAGCACCACCTTGAAGGAGTAGGCTCGGCCGGCCGCCGCGCCGCCCCCGCCGCCGCCGCCGCCGCCGCCCCCGCCCGTCGCCGCCGCCATCCCGGCGCTCCCCGGTAGCCCGCGCCCCGCAGCGCGCCGCGCTCGCTCCCCACAGCCGCCGCCGCGGCGCGAGCCCCGGAAAGGCCGGCACGTCGGGCGCGCCCCGGGGAAAGGCCGAGAGCGCGGCCTTCTCCGCCTCCCTCTAATGGCGTCTCCTTCCTCCTACGTCACGCTCCGGGTCACGTGGCCGCCGCGGCCCGCCGGCCCGGGGACTGCGCGGAGAGAGGGCGCCGGGCGGGGGCGGGGCTTCTGCGCCGCGGGGGCGGGGTTTATCCGGGGCGGGGCTTCTGCGCCGCGGGGGCGGGGCCGGCGAGAGGCCAGAATCAGTGAGCCGACTCGGACCCGGCTCCGGCGGGTCGTGCTCGTTTTCATCCTGGGAACGCTCCCTAGCGCGAGTCTCCCCATCCGGGGTCTCCAAGCAACGCGGCCCGGGTGCCTTTCCGTCTCTCGCTGCGGTGTTCGAGGGGATCCCCAGAGTTGTGGAACTTCTTTGCGCTTCCACACCTCCCGGCCGCCTCCTCCTCCTTCAGGTTCCCGGCTGGAACCGGAAAGGCTTCCCTGACCACCCCCCCTCCCCTACTTTGCAACTTAGGTGATTTCCTAACGCAGGATTCTTGCCTCACTTCATCCGAATACTACTTGGCTAATTGCTTTATCGCAACTAGCTGTGGCAAGGACCTGAGTTGTCCTTACCTGGGTTGATTCTTGCCTACCTTTGAATTTCTGATTCCGAGTACCAGGCGTTGTGTAGTTCTCTTGGGAATGCAAGATAAAGAAAACAGGACAAAGGGGTAGGTCTTAAGCCATTATGGCTTGGTTCTCCTAAGTTTCTGCATCCCAGGAAGTCTCTGACATTATTGCCATTTTGACCCCACCTTTTTTGTTACTCAAGGGGCCACACCCAGCGGAGCTAGGGTGGAGGGCCTGGGTGCCAGTCACTCTCTGCAATGTCTGTGCATGTTCAGTGAGACTGGTGAACTCCCGGACACTAGATGCTAGATGACCACAAAGGCCCCTGGGACAGAGTGCCAGGGACAGAGTTGCACAAATGCTTGTCATGTGCTTTGCCCCTTGGGCTATCTCCCTTGGCTGCCCCCCCCCCCTTGAAAGATCGGATTCATTTGATGACTGCTTATTTTTCTTCGGCAACTTCCCTTTTCATTGATGAAATATACTCTTCCAAGAAACCATACTGGTGCTTTTGATACCGTGCAATAATAAATTTGATGATAGCCAGTCGAATATTGTTCTTTTCCCTCATGGTTCTTTATCATCAAACTTTTTCAACTTCAAAATAGATAATTCATTGAATCAATAAATATTTGAAGCTACCAACATAGTCCCGCTGAGCCAAATGAGATACAATGTTTATGTCATTCAGATACAATGTTATGTCATTTTGGCAAGGAAGACACATACAGTCTATCATAGCATGAATGTTTTCCTCTTGATAAAACAAAAAGTATTTGGCAGAAGTTTATGGGGACCTCAGTGATTTAGCATACAGGGGAAGCCTTCCAGAAGATTGACACCTTTGGGCAGAAATAATCTAGGCAAGGAGGAAGAAGAGCTTTGCAAGCAGAATCGTATGTCCCAACTATCAAATTAGGAAGGAGCAACAGAGGCAGGACAGAGCACCATCAGGTGTGACCCATCCCTCCCCACCCCCAACAAACAATGACCAAAACTGAATGCAGAGGGAGGAACTAGTGGTTGAGTGTGGTGGTTTCCAAAGCCATTTGCTTTGGAAGCAGCTGACCCTGGTTTGAACCCTGACACCACCAATGGTTTCCCAAGCACTATTGGAATGATCCCTGAACAAAAAGCTAGTAATAAGCCCTGAGCACTGCCACGTGTGCCCCCACATCATATTTTAAAAAATAAATAACTTTTTAAAAATGCAAAGAGAGAGGGGCTGAGGGGACAGCTCAGTAGGTTGGAGTTCAGTTTTGATTCCTAGGGCTACATGATCCCTCTCCCAACCCCACCTGCATCTGCTAGGTATAGGCCAAAAGCAAAACAAAACACAAAAATAACACAGGGAGAAAAGGGGCTTCAGAAGAGACTGGCAGAAAAGCAGAGGTCAAAGGTCGATTAATGGGCCTTGCTTTATATCTGGGAAATGGAGCAATATCTGGAGGGTCTCAGGGCTACTTCCTGCTCTGTGCTTAGGGGACCTGATGCTGCTGGGATTTAACCCAGGCCTCCTGCATACATACCATGAGTTCAGCCCATTGAGCATCTCTTCAGTCCACCAAGTGATTTTCTTCAAAGACACTAACATAAGATTTAATTTTGTGGGGGCTGGAGTGATAGTATAGCAGGGAGGGTGTTTGCCTGGCACACGGCTGACCCAGGTTCAACTCCCAGCATCCCATATGGTCCCTGAACAAAGCCAGGAGTGATTCCTGAGCCAGGAGTAACCACTGAGCTTTGTCGGGTAATGACCCAAAAAGCCAAAAAAAGAAAGATTTGATTTTGTCCTTCATTTTTGTTCTTTTTTTATTCATAATATTTTAATTCCCAGTTTGATAGATATGTTAGTTTAAAATATTGTTTTAGCTATTAATTTTTAAGCATTTTTTGTTAAATAATTTAATTTTTCTGAGTTTTGTTTGCTTGTCAAGAGACCATGTGGTGCAAGGGATCAAACTGGGGTCAGCTGCATGTGATTCAGGCACACAACTGGGAGTGATGGGGCTAGCAATGAGTTCTTGGTAAGGAATTAAAACCAAGATGCTTTTCAAGATTCAAAGAAGCCATTCTGTCACTAGCCCTACAGTATCATTCTCTTCCCCCCTCAAAAAAAAATTAAATAAAACCATGAAGACTAGACCCACTTTCTGGACACAGGGTCCTAGGAACCAAGGCAGATAAGACTCTAGTGCCAGCACCATCCCAGAGAAAACTGCCCCACCTCCAGAGGGAAGCTGCGGAGGACCAAGTGACTGTGATAAGAATATGAAGATAGACCACCCAAAGTTTAGGCCCTTCCTTGTGACAGTGTCCTTTCAAGGACTCTTGAGTCCATAGAAAACCCCATGTCGGTGCAGTTTGAAAAAAATATCTGTAAAATCAACTTTGCAAAAGCAGGTGGGGTGCTTCACCATTCTGGGGGTCACCTAAATCTCACCTCAAGAAGGGTAATTCCTTTGTTTGGGGGGTACCCTTGGATCTCCTCCCCAGTTCCCCTGTTCTAAAAAAGTCCACATTCTCTCTTAAACACATCACTCTCTTTAGCCTCATGATCTCTTAAATAAAACGTCCCTATTCATCTCCTCCTGAAATTATTTTCTTTTTCAGAAGATAACAGACCAGAAAAGAAGCTGGACAGAGCTTAGGGTTAATTTTTCTTTTCCCACACAGAGCAATTTCTTGCTCCAACCTGGGTCCCATAACTCCACCAAGAAATCATCTGGTGGGACTAGTTCACGAACCATCTGTTAATTGCTAAGTGAAGCTCATGGGATGAAGCTGTCCACATCACGTTGTGCTTGTGGCAGACCATCTCAGTCCTGAGCCTCCAAGGCACTCCCCAGGGGACTGAGCAGGGGGAGGCAGAAACAAGTAAATTGTCTTCTTGAGGCTACTACCTCTGTTCTCCCCACTTCACATAAGTCGTCTACAACACATGTGAGACAAACTCCTTTGAGTACTCCTATCTCGCTGGCCCCAGTTTTTGATTTTTGCAGGGACCACATGAGGTGGTACTCAGGGATTTTGAGTTCAGAGATTGTTCCCAGTAGTGAGAATTGATCTCAGGTATCCTGCATGCAAATCATGTACTCGGCCTATTGAGTTATCTCTGGCACCTGTAAGTTTTCACCTTTTGTTGGTAGTAGTGGGTAGGGGTAGGACTGACTGTCCCAGCAGTACTCAGGCTATTCCTGGCAGTTCTATGGGATCATACACCGTGCCAGGGATCAAACCAACATTCAAGATGTTTGCCTTGTGCTTTTTTAACCCTTACTCTATCTCTTTGACTCCTGAAGAATTTAACTCCCCACCCTCCACCCCCTATTGCCAGAGCTTAACTTTTAAAAGTCACTTTGGTGATACTTAAAAATGAATTGTAAAGGTTCTTACTCAGTGTTTTTAGAATTCATCAATAAGAGACCTATGCTATAATAAAATAGTTTCTTGATTGTTTCTGAGAAGGTATCTCTATAGCTTCTTTCTGCAATCCTTGAGGATTGTTCCTGGTCATACTGCGGAAGGGAGGACCATGTGGTGTCAGAGATGGAACCAGGGCCTTGAGATGCAAACCTGACCCATTTACCTATCTCCCTGGACCCTAGCCTCACTTTTTAAAAAATAAAATTCACCACTTCTCAGTACTTGAAATACCTTCTGCATGTTCATGACTCCTAAATATGTATCTTTCAGTTCAAAACTCTCCCCTGAGAACCAGATATGTAACTCACATTTAATATCTCTCTGATGTCAAACTGACATTTCAAACACAATAAATCTCAAATGAATCTCTCAATAGATCTCCAAAGCTGTTATTTCCTTGATTTTCCCCACCTCTCTTAATAATTCTGTTATATATCCTTTGCTTAAGGAAAACCTACCAATAACTTCTTCTTTCACTTATTACTCCCTTCATTCATCTCCCCACTACTCCAACAGTAGTCCACTTGGACCACTAGTCCACATCATCATCAAGGTTGCCCTAGGCTAACTATCCCTCAAATCTCTGCTTTCGTCAACCTTTGGCCACTGCAAACATAACCAGCATAATTTTTCATGTTTAACCTCCCAAGCAATACTTAGGGGGTCCCGGGTCCTTTTTCCATAGGACTTAGTCAAGTTGGGTCAGCTCAAGCTCTGGCATGGCAATTTGATACTGCCTGGACTCAGTAATGCTGGGGATTACACTTGACAGTTTAAGAATTAAACCCCGGGTCTCATGCATAAAGCACAGGTGTCCCATCCATTTGATCTATCTCTCCAACCTCCTAGAACTATTTCAAAACAAGTTAAAATTCCTTATCATGACTTATAAAGTCATCACAGATCCACTTGCTTTTTCTGGGGGCGGGGGGGGGGGTTGTTTTAGGGGCCATATTCAGCGGTACTCTGAGTGTTGAGCCCTACACTCAGAAATTACTGCTGGATGTGCTTAAGGGACCATATAGGATGCCAGGGATCAAATTGGGGTTAACTGTGAA